ATAACTTACATAAATATTTTTAAAAAATTTTATATTTATTTTTTGATAACTCAATATATTGAATAATAATTATAATAAATTAATTGATATGATTGTAAATATTTAATATTAATGTATAATCTATAATGGATAATTAAAATTAGGGTAAAATGCGCGAAATAGCAACCTACTTTTACGAATTTTCTTATTAGAGTATTGTATTTTCAGTTTTTCTTATTATAACGATATACTTATAAAATATTTTTTATTAGGGCATCGTACTTTCAAAAATTTACCTACTATACTATTGGATAACTTGTTACCTTTTGAACAGGTTTTTCTTTGTTGACATGTCAAACTTAAAATGACATGGAAGCCACATAGGATAATCTGTTATACATAGGAAATGCGCGAAATAGCAATCTACTTTTATATATTTCCTTATTATAGCATTGTATTTTTAAATTTTCTTATAACAACAATATACTTTCAAAATATTTTTTATTAGGGCATCGTACTTTAAAAAATTTATCCGTTATAACATTGGGTACATGAGGGAACAAGTTCACAAAGGGGTGTTAAAAAGATAATGTGAAATCTTTGAGTTTCATACTAATTTTATATATCAATTGCATACTAATTTCTTCACTATTCTAAACAGGAACCATCTCAAGTGGAATCACGACCAAAACTCATCCTGAAAAAAAAAGAGGCAAAGTGAAATGATAACTTTGAACAATCTATGGAAAAATACTGTTGAGAAAGATGGAGAAGGTAGTAGTTGTGACAAGGCGATTCCACTTGATTAAATATCATTGTTAGACGAATGTGAATAGGATGGAGTTTTTTTTATTTTAAGATGTTCCACTTGTTTAGTTTTTGGCATTACAAAGTAAGCCATGAAATTTACGATGAACTCTATGAACGAATGGTTTTTTATGAATGTTTTTATTCGTGAAATAGTGATATTTTATAAACATGTTTAATTTATGATATTATAATTTTAAGTAAACATATTTAATTAAATTTTCAATGTTTAAATGATAAAATATTAAAATTAAAAGTACAATGATGTAATAGAATTGGTGATGTTATAATAAAGTTATTTTGAAAATACAATGCTATAATAAGAAATGTCATGTCAGCACTATTTTACATATGGACAGCCTACATGCACGATTAGGTGACAAAAAAACCTGGTATAATAGGCAATTTTAATTTAAAAGGTTACCCAATGTTATAACGAATACATTTTTGAAAGTACAATGTCTTAATAGAAAATAATTTGAAAATACATTGTTGTAATAAGAAAAACTGAAAGTACAATGTTATAATAATTTTTTTTATAAAAGTAGGTTGATAGTATTTCGCGCATTTGGCCCTTTGGTTTGTCAAAAATAACGCTTTTTTGTCTTTATAGTTTCAAAATTACAAGATAACAATTGTGGTTTACAAAAACTTTTAGATTTTCTCTCCCTAACGGCGGTTAAAAATTATTGTTAAACGAGTAGCATTTTTGTTCTATAATCGATTTTTTTTTGTCTTTTATACAAACCAAAATAATAAAATAGATTTTGATAGGGTAAAAGACAAAAAATCGAAAAAATAACGAAAATGTCTCTCATTTAACGAAATCTTTTACTGATAGTTAAAAGGAAGAACTAAATGCAGACGTTTTTGCAGACCACGATAAATATTATTTTGATAAACCATAAGGACCAAACTTGTAATTTACTCTAAATTTTATTTCTAATTTATTGAGAAGTGTTTTATTCTCATAGGACCCATTTTAACAAATGAATTAATTAAGTCCAAATTTTGAAAAGATGAATAAATAGGTTTATATAAAAAAATGCTATAAATATTTTGAAAGAGGCAAGAAGAGGGGAAAGAGAAAGAGAGACGGTGTGACTAAGGGGCCGTTTACCTAAATGCTTACCGGGTAAACGCTTACCTTTAGGAGTCAACATTATAATTTATTTTACCGGGTAAGATTGTAGTACATCAAAATGGTATCGTATGCAACAATTTACCCGGTAAGTACTTACCCGGGTAAGAAGAGTCGTCACCCTCACTTACCGGGTAAGACTCTTTATATTTATCATTGTTCTTATCAGGTAAGATTTTTGACCCTTACCATGTTCATCTGGTAAGAAAAATTACCCGGTAAACACTTTCTGGATAAATGTTTACTAAACGGCTCCCAAGTGATAATGAAAGTGGTTACCAATTATGGAGTTCCATTACTCAATTCATTACCAAGAACAMCACTAAACCTTTTTCACTATATATAACAGGGCTTTTTGCTAGGCCAACACTGGCTCCGTCCAAGAGTATAATATAATGCTTTTTCACATCGGTTTCGTTGAAGGTGGGATTCGTTTGGAATCAGTTGAGATTGTTAGTAATCAACTTTATATATATATAGGGTATATTTCTTTTACAACCTTGTGCATTTGTACAACCTTTGCAACCCAATTAATTGAGATATTTATAGAAATGATTGGAGTTCATTTATTATGATTTGAATATTTATGGAATATGAATAGAGTTTATTAATTATGATTAATACTTTATATTAGGAAACAATTAATWGATTAAAAATTGAATGGTTGAGATGAGGGTTGTATAGGGTGTAGGAATGGCAAATGGTGTAGAATAACATCCCTATATATATATATATATATATATATTGTGTATATACATACATATATAATTCACTTATCTTTGATGGCAAATAGAAAGAAATTATTAAATGACAAAAGTGTCCTCATCAAACTGGATTTAACATTAAAAAAACAACTGTCATGAATGAAAGGGGTAAAAACCGTTCAATTTTGCATATATAAGAACAAATTTGTATTAAATATAGATTAAGATTGAAGGGTTTGATTTCAGTGACAACTGAAGTTATTGTGAGAAGCGTAAGAAGAGATTTACATCTTTTGATCAATCCTAGTTGAATGTCAACGCTAATAATATACATCGAGATACACCAAATAATTCTCTTCTAAGCCGCTTCTCACCATAACTTATGATTCTTCACCTAAGAATGATTTTTGTCAAATAGCAAACATCAAGGACCAAGTCCAAAATTCATCTTGTTTATTTATTACAAATATAGGGCTAGGGCTAGAGAAAAAAACCATCTTTATGAAATTAATTAATGCTTAATTTAATTTTAATTAAATAATAATCTAGTAATTTCATTATGACTTCAAAATTTGAGGATGAAATTGTTGGCAGTCGATTGCTCCTTTTTTTCCTTTCTGGATGTGGATTTCTTAATTATGATGCATCATTTTCTTTAGATTGAATTACATTTTTGGTCCCTGTGGTTTACCAAATCTGGTTCTTGTCCCTCGACTTCGATAATTACATCCTTGTCGTTGTAGTTGCATGTGTCTAATAGCCGTTAAGAGAGAACGTTAAGTTCCCTAACGTGACTTAACGAGGGGCATATTTGTCATTTTAACCTTTTATTTTGATAACTTTTATCATCGTACAAGTTTTAATACCATTTTTACACATTTAAGAAAAAATCCCACCCTTTCCTTCTCTTACAAACTTCTCCAGCACCCACCCAGACACCAGAACAAAGCGCACACATTCTAAATCAACCCCATTTCACTCTGTGTTTGTGTTTTGTTGGTCATAACTTGAATTAGACACCGAAAGCAGAAAAAACTTGTATAAAATCGTGCAAAACCAAATGAATAAGGATTGTGTTCATCTAAATATAATAAAATCAAAACTCTAGTTTTCTTACTTAAAAGTCATGAAATAGCATG